CAGAAGAAGGCCATTAGCATAATGGTTAAAGGGATCAATTCGAACAGAAGGCGGTAACTATCCATCACTGGCCATCAGAGAAATGCAAATCAAAACCACAATGAGATACCATCTCACACCAGTTAGAATGGCGATCATTAAAAAGTCAGAAATAACAGATGCTGGAGAGGATGTGAAGAAACAGGAACATTTTTACACTGTTGGTGGGATTGTAAACTAGTTCAACCATTGTGGAAAACAGTATGGCGATTCCTCAAGGATCTAGAACTAGAAATACCATAAGACCCAGCCATCCCATTACTGGGTATATACCCAGAGGATTATAAATCATGCTGCTATAAAGACACATGCACATCTATGTTTACTGCAGCACTATTCACAATAGCAAAGACTTGGAATCAACCCAAATGTCCATCAGTGACAGACGGGATTAAGAAAATGTGGCACATATACACCATGGAATACTATGCAGCCATAAAAAAGGATGAGTTTGTGTCCTTTGTAGGGACATGAATGCAGCTGGAAACCATCATTCTCAGCAAACTATCGCAAGAACAGAAAACCAAACACCGCATGTTCTCACTCATAGGTGGGAACTGAACAATGAGATCACTTGGACATGGGAAGGGGAACATCACACACCGGGGCCTATTGTGGGGAGGGGGGAAAGGGGAGGGAGGAGGGATGGCATTGGGAGTTATACCTGATGTAAATGACGAGTTGATGGGTGCAGCACACCCACATGGCACATGCATACATATGTAACAAACCTGCACATTGTGCACATGTACCCTAGAACCGAAAGTATAATTAAAAAAAAAAAACTGATTTAAGCTCCCCCCGCCCCCAAAACAAAAGAAGAGCCTACTAAGATAGCCCTAAGATAGGGAAAGATAACTGAATCCAGTAGCCTTCTCTGGATGTCCAAGATTCTATAGTCAAGAAGGACAGAATCTATTCAAACTTGGATTTTCTGTCGGGCTTGGCTCCTTTTAGTCTGTGTCATGCTATGGCAACTTTTTAAAAAATCACGGTAGCTATGCAGTAGAAAAATCAACAATGTGGGGTTATACTTTCCTGCTGGAGCTGATGGATTAACACTAAAAATAATTTTTGTTGACTTTTTTAATTAAAAAATTATAGTTAGCATTTAAAGTAAGATGGAATATTCTGGTTTGAAAAGCAAGCGGGTATGCTGAATTGAATCCAAAAAAAAAAAAAAGTAGGGAAAATATTACCTGGTTACATATACTAAAACCTGTCAAAACACAAAAGCAAAACAAACAAAAATTCTGAAACAAAATATGTATCTACCTTAAAAAATAGTGCACTTACATGGTTTTGGAGTGAGCAGCTCCTATCTTTTTAAATAAAAGATTTATTATATTTACCCTGGCATCCTCTGGGGTCTTGAAGTTAATTATTTTTCCAAACTCTCTGGCATGAAATACAGACTTCACTCGTTCCTATAAACAGAATATATAAATTCATTAAAAAGAAAATCTGGTTGTAAAAATCCATAAAGAAATGCCACAGGCCAGGCATGGTGGCTCACGCCTGTAATCTCAGCACTTTGGGAGGTTGAGGTGGGCAGATCATGAAGTCAGGAGATCGAGACTATCCTGGCTAACACGGTGAAACCCTGTCTCTACTAAAGATACAAAAAAATTAGCCGGGCGTGGTGGCAGGCGCTGTAGTCCCAGCTACTCGGGAGGCTGAGGCAGGAGAAAGGCGTGAACCCAGGAGGAGGAGCGTGCAGTGAGCTGATATCGCGCCACTGCACTCCAGCCTGGGCGACAGACTGAGACTCCATCTCAAAAAAAAGAAATGCCACAAAGCTTTATTACTGCATGCCTAAAGTATTCATCTACACAAATCATGCACTTTAAAAAAGACAAGAATGAAGAACCAAGAAGAATCAAAACCAACAGAAAAAAAGACTACATTCTATTAATAACACAACCATTATCACTAAACCTAAGTTAAAAAGCTTAAGGTGATATTTCAATTGCTAAAGGCATAAAGGGTTGACATAAAGGATGGGAAGGAGGTAAGTCGGGGAGTAGTGCCACTGTTTTTCCTCTCCAAACACAGTTTTTTCTTACACAGTTGTTATCTGGCCTATATAGAATCAGCTTAAAAATATACACACATGCTAGTCTAACATGTTCTATAAGTAATTCAACTACCCATGCAAATATGGACACTAGAAGAAACTAGCTTCTTCTAATTTAAAAAAAAGGATAAGGCTGGGCGCAGTGGCTCACGTCTATAATCACAGCACTTTGGGAGGCTGAGGCAGGCAGATCGCTTGGACCCAGGAATTCAAGACCAGACTGGCCAACCTGTTGAAACACTATCTGTACTAAAAATACAAAAATTAGTCTGGCATGGTGGCACATGCCTGCAGTCCCAGCTACTCAGGAGGCTGAGGCAGGAGAATTGCTTGAATCTGGGAGGCGGAGGTTGCAGTGAGCCAAGAGCGCCACTGCGCTCCAGCCTGGGCAACAGGGCAAGGGACTGTCTCAAAAAACAGAATGATTGCAGAATTGTAGATATGAGGTCTCATGAAGAGGTGGAAAGGGAAGAAATCAAAGAGATAAGAGAACGTATTAATGTTAGAAAGGGAAAAATAAAAAGCCAGGAAAGCAATATGGACTGGAGTACAGGCTAATAGCCACTACCCATTATTTCATATGTGGGAAGGTGGGGTTCTGTTACTGAACATACAACGAGGGCCCAGGAATGTTATTGTCAGTGCAATAGCACAGAAAGCACAGTTTTTCTTGGCCTAGTTTTTTTTTTTTTTTCTTTAAGCCTGGGTAAGATAGCAGGTATTAAAGGAAAACCATACCAAGAGAAGGTGACATGTATAAAAGAGGTAGAGCACTGTACAAATAAAAAGGACGATTTCAAAGCATTATTTTCAGTTCCAAGTTTTCAACAAATAAATCTACTCAACATACCTTTGCTTCAATGCGCAATCTTCTCCCATGAACAATGAATGGCTCTTTGGTAAACTCATCAAAGCTATACTGCCACTCACACGTGAGCTGTCCAAATGTTCCCTTTGTTACAAACAATACACCACTGCAAAAACAAAAACAAAAAACAGAATTCGCTTTAAAATTGAGGCACTTATAGCCGATAACAACAGGATACGAATGAATCTCAAGTGCAAATGCAATATTCATCAACATAGACTATATTCTATATTCTTAATGAATTTGAAAGAACTGAGGGGCCGGGTGCACAGGCTCATGCCTGTAATCCCAGCACTTTGGGAGGCTGAGGCGGGCAAATCACGAGGTCAGAAGATCGAGACCAGCCCGGCTAACATGGTGAAACCCTGTCTCTACCAAAAATACAAAAAAATTAGCCGGGCATGGTGGTGGGAGCCTGTATAGTCCCAGCTACTCGGGAGGCTGAGGCAAGAGAATGGAGAACGGCGTGAATCCAGGAGGCAGAGCTTGCAGTGAGCTGAGATCGCACCACTGCACTCGAGCCTGGGCGACAGAGAAAGACTCTGCCTCAAAATAAAATAAAATAAAATAAAATTTTAAGAAAGTAAAAAAAAAAAATAAAAAGAACTGAAACCATAAAGTGTGTTCTCAGATCATAACAGAACTAAACTAGAAACCAAAACAAAAAGATAACAATAGTATTTATAAACGCTTACAAGTAACACTTCCAAATAATCCAGGAGTCAAAGAATCTCAAAGGAAATTAGAAAATATTTTGAACAGAATGAGAATGAAAATACAACATAAAAGTTGTGGGATGCAGCTAACATAATGCTCAATGGGAAATTTATAGCACAACATATTTAGAAAAACTGAAGCACTTATAAAATCAAATATGTAAGGCACGTCATAAGAAATGGGATACATTTACAGAACCAATTATCAGCCAGTATTTGGAGAAACTTTCATATAACTAATGCACTAGAATAAATACTTTCATTTCTAAGGCTCCATGTAATGTATTTCCCAACTACATCAGACAGAAGCTTTTCTAACCATGTTGAACAGAATCATCATACTGAGGGCCTTGGAATGTTCACAAGTAAAATCAAGTCCCATTACTGCCAATTTTAGAGGAAGACTTCAAAAAGCATCATTCTAATTTTTAAATAAATTCCTGTTTTCCCATTTTGAAGAAAGAAACCAAGAAATGAAAATACCTTCTGTCTATAAGAAGTCTATTTAATCCTTCCTTCAAATGTTTTTCTTCTTAATTTTTCCTTCTGATTGAAACATCAATAGTAGGTGCAACCAGAGGTTTCTATTAGATTGAGTTAAAGAAACATCTGGCTCCTGGCTAGGATGGAAAAGGAGAAAGCTAGCCAGGATTTATATCTCTCACTTCCATCTTCTGTCCCTGTTCCCCTCCTTTACCAATCCTGGATTACAGGAGCTGATGGAACAAACCCAGTGGTGCTCCAGGACATCTCCAACCATGTGAAAAATCACAGACAACTGGCCAATGTAGTAGCTATTCCCACTCCTCATTCAAAGATCCTTTTATCCTCAAACCCGAAACTTGGAAAGGGAATCCCAAGTATAACCATCATGTTTTATTCAACTACAACTAATTCACTTCCCTTACTCTGTCAAGGCACTGTGGCCTCATCTAAAGGAGGTCCACGGCATTGAGGAAAAAAAGGCTTTTAAAATGTTGCAAGATTTGGAACCAAACTTTGCAACTGATTTTGCTTAATGCTGATTAGTTACCTTTCCTTTAGTCAATGGGAAAGTGAGTTACTAAAAACATGATGGAAAATTTTTATGAGCAAAAATGATTGCCGAAGCAATGTCTGCAATTACAAAAGTCTAGAAACAAGTTACAGGTAAATTAGTACATACTCCTAAATAAATATTAGGCAGGAATTTACAAATTAAGAAAGATCTCCTTATGTTGACATGTAATAACCTTCAAAATATAGATCTCAAGTGAAAAAACTAAGTACATAATGCTATGTATAAGAGACTTTCATCTGCATTAAAATATGCGTGTATGTCTACCTGTAGAGGCATAGACTATTTCAAGAAGGATACAAAGGAAACAAGTAAAAAATGGGCTGCCTCTTGGAAGGGAACACAGGGACTAATATCTGGGGTGGAATGAAGACTTACTTTTTACAGGTATAATTTCTAATATTGTGGAAGTTTTCCACTTGGTGTTACTTTTTAAATAAGAAAATTAAAATAGGGCTATACATTTTAGATTCAGAAATTGAGATTACAACATTAAAAGTGACTGCTTCGTAGTCACCTTGAACCAACACAATGTTCATATAACTTTACCTTTCAATAGTGAACAAAACCATAGATTGACAATTCATTTCTATTTAGCTCTAACTTCTCCCCACTGGCCGTATTTTCACTCTCCACCACCCAGAGACTGCCATCTTACTAATGCACTTGCTCATTCCTTCCCTAGTTTAACGATGACTCCTGTACACTTGCCCCTCTGAGGCTATGCCACTGTGTATTTTTGCATGTACCCCTCCACTGTCTATTTGAAGAAGTCGCTGTAGTATCCACCTAAAATTTTATCTGCTTCTACCAGTATATCCACTTACGTTAATCTGTATGTATTCTAACAAACAGATACTATCAGAGGACTGCTGATTTCTGGGATAACTTAAAATTGTACACTTTTTCAGCGAGAAGAAAGCTTACTTTTAAGAGGACAGTTTTATGGAATTTCTGCATCCGTTTGAATTGGCTGAAAGAAATACGAAAATATTTGTGTCTGTGCATGACTGTGTTTATCTGTATGCATGCACAAAGCTATGCAGGACATTTATGTAACGTTTAGGGAGTTAGGCTTGTGGAGCGAGAGGACCCAAGAATCACTGTGGCTATATGGAACAAAAGATGAATAACAGATCTTCACTGCATGAGTGGCTGCCAGTTAACCCCTTATCAAATTACATAAGAGAAAGAAAGGAAGTTACCGTCTGGTTATCATTAGCATATCTGTCTTATTGATCATGACGTGGGTAAAATATTTGTATTTTGCAAATCTTCCATTTTCCATGACCTAAAAGAAAAAAGTGAGAGACAATGAGAAAATTGGTAATATTCCTACTGTAATGCAAACAATGCCTTATAGTCCTCTAAGAACCATTTCTCAATGGGGCAAACCATGGACATACAGAAAACGGATTTCATTATTTGTAAAATCACTGCTGTTTCCTTTTTAAAAGCATCTACTTGCACTACTTTATTTAAGATTACTCGGTTGCAGCAATGCCAACCTTTACTGCTAGACTTTTAGAAGCTGATGTTATCTTACAAAGTTTAAATTCAATCTAATGAGGTATTTAACTATTACAGTGACTTTATATTGGAAAATATATTAGTATTTAATATTTGTACAAAAACACATGTAAATACTAACACATATATAAACATATGCATCACATAAATTACTTATTAGCTTCTGCCTTGCCCTAGACATTCCGTATATATCTTACAAACATGCTTTTCTTTGTCCATCTCACAACTCGTTAAAAAATAAAGAGCAGAGAGTTTCTAGACAAACAGGGACCCCAAGGCTTACTTAGCCTTTGAAACAATCTTTATTTTCAAGACTGTTGAAACACTGTCTATCCATGACACTGTTTATTAACAATTGTTTGCTTCAAAATGTAAATATAACCATATGAAGAAAACAGAGTTATCATTTTAAATTCTATTTTCAGCAATATTTGCTCTGAGGATGGAGTTACTTTAGCTATTTAAAGTATATAGCAGGCTAGCCTACTATTTTTACAGGCAAGGCAGGCAATGTAATTATGACTAAGATCCCTCAAGAAGAGGCATGTTATGAATTTAGCCAAAATGTGAAAAACCATGAAGAAATCCAAGAGAGGATATAAAGGTTTTAGAAAACTGTGTTCCTTGAAGCTGTACCAAAAAACTAAAGTGATTTAGCTTAGAAGAAAGCTAAGAAGTAACTTCATGATGATCTTGGTATAAAAAGTTGGTATTTTCATTTTTATCTGAGAAAGAAGTTAAAAAAAAAAAACTAAAATAGCAGGATGAGTCATACAGATTAATTGCATGGAAGAAGTTTCTAAATTCAATGATTATAAAATATTGAGGAAAAGAATATCTTTACTATTTACTGTAGTAGGTAGGGCAAATAAACACAAATACTTTGTATTACAAATGAAAAAGGGACATAAATACAGATTCAGAAAACAATTAACATGAATTACAGTCGTTCCCCCTTATCTGCAGGGGGATATGTTCCTAGACCTCCAGTGGGTACCTGAAACCACAGACAGCACTGAGCCCTACATATATTCTATGGTTTCTCCTATATATACATACGTATGATAAAGTTTAATTTATAAATTAGGCACAGTAAGGGACTAATAACCAATAATAAAATAGAACAATTATACTGTAATAAAAGGTATGTGAAGGTTTATTTCTGAAATTTTCCATTTAATATTTTCAAACCATGGTTGGCCAAGGGTAACTGAAACTGCAGAAAGCAATTGTGGATATGATAGGACTACTGTATTAGATAATTTATAAATTATGCAAGTAATTTTGAAAACTTAGATGAAATGAACTATGTTTTAAGCAATATAAATTATTAAGAGGAAGAAGCATCATGAGTAGAAATTATTTGTGAATGACAGTACATTTGGAAAAGCCAAGCACACAAAACCCAGGAATCAATTTGGAAATGGAAGAGAAACAAATCCTGTTTACAAGGGTAATAAAAAAGATAAATATTTACCCATAAGTTTAGTAAATAATGTGCAGAATACAGGTGATAAAAGCCATACCACTGTATTCAGGGGAGTAAAAGAAATTTTGAAAATGGAAATCCATATCTTATTCTTGGACATAAAAAATTATCATAATAAAGATGTTATTGACTCCTAATTTTCACACACACACACACACACACACACACACACACACACACTCTTCATGTGATCCCAAGATGGTGGTTTTTGGAGCACGGGGTAGGAGGTAAAATGTGATTTGTCAAAATTATACTAAAACTTATCTAGGAAAAATATGTGGTAATATCCAGTAAATTATGAAAGAAGAATGAGAAGAGCTACTCTAGCAGACATTAACGCAATTTATAAAGCTGCAGTAGTGAAACAGTTTGGTGCTGGTAAAGTATATGCAGACATATCAAAGGAAAGAATACAGATTGCAGAAACTGACCATATGCATATAGGACATTATAAAATCCTATCCAATTACAGAAATTTATTAAATCAAGACAGCACTTCAAATCAGTGGGTAAATACATGCATTATCAAATAAATGGTGTTTTAAGTAACTCATTGGCTAAAGCTGTATCCTTCTCTCTATATACCCAATCAATTCTACATGGATCAATGATTTAAGTATACAAAACGACTATAAAAGTACTAGAAAAAATAATATTTTAATAATCTTGAAGTGGGAAAGGCCAAAATATAGCAAAGTCCATAAAACACAACATAAAAAATTGTTAAGTACATAGAACTTAACCACTACTGAATGGCAAAACGATAAGCAAATAAACAGTAATTAAGTAAAATAACACAAAACTCAAAGGACAATTTGGGAAAATATTTGTCAATACAGAGAGAGTGAGTCAATTTCAAAATAGACAATTCTAGCAATTTGAAGAAACCGACAGAAAATAATGAGTAAAGCAGTAGAAAAATGTGTGAAGAATATGAACAGGTAGTTCAGCAAAAAACAAACAATATCTGACTGATAAACATGAGAAAATATTCACTATAACTCAAAATCAGGAAAATGCAAATCAATTAAACATACCATCTGAGTTAGCAATTCCACTGCTAGAATTTATCTTAGGCAAAAGTATGCCAAAATAGACATATAAAAATATTCACAGCAATATTGTATTAAAAGTACAAAATCTAAATATTCATTAATAGGGTATTAGTTAAATTCATGTACAGCCATACAATGGGGCATTATGAAGTCATAAAAAAGAGAAATGAAGACCTGTGCATACTGACATAGATGTATAAGATATATAGTAAATAAAATTATACTACAAAAGAGAATGTATAGAATGAAAAGTAGAAATGCATACATGTACATATACTTGTACATACATAAGAAACTTCTAGAAGGTATACATCAATCTATTAACAGCAATGATCTCTGGGCTTTTGAAGCATAATGGTGGAGGTAGAAGTTAAGCTTTTTTTAAAAATTTTTACATTCTTTTATTGTTTCAGTTTTTTGATATCTGAAAAGAAACTGGCTTACAAAGATTCATTTTCTTTTGTTCCATGTGGCCAAGTTTAAAAATCAAGAATACAAATGTTGACCTCCTCAAGAATACCACAGCTAATAGAATTCAAGAGCCTACATGCACCATTAATAGATCCTAACCTTCAAATAATTTAAAAGCTATGGTTTATTCCAAGTACCTAACTTTTATTTCCATATTATGCTAAGTTTGGGCATTGTAATTAAGCCTACCTCTCATCACTTTCTACTTTTCAGACCCAACTTAAATCAAATCTAATCTGTGCATATAAGCAGTTAAACCAGTTTCGATAGTCACAACAGCATCTGGTATAAGTAAGAAATAAAGAAAATCCAAAGAAAGTAATTCATATAATGCTTTCCATCCAAAACCTTAAATGTAACACTTGAAAGATGAATGACCTTTACGGTCATAGTAGTCTGCTTTGAAACGTAATCAACTGTATCCTTTGTTATTAGAGTGACTGTAGTTGAATAAATGTCAAAGATAACTCATCACACAGCAAAATCTTGCTGCTCAGTGTTCATTATAAACATGAGAATACGGAATGAGAACATTATAAACAGGATCCAAAACTTTGAAACTGAATCCACAGAAGTTATGGGAGAGAACATCACACTGCAGAAAGTCTACAAATGTCACATTGTAGTCACAAATTCCTGCCTGACTTTATAAATGCATTATATATTAAGCTTTAGACTTCTCAAAACATCATTTTTTTAGGGAAAAAACCCCAGAATTTTAGACCTGAAAAACTCCTATTGTTCATCCAAACCAATCTCTTCCTTTTACACACAAAGAAACTGAGGATCAGGAAGTGTCTAATGAATCTTCTAAATCTAAATTTTCACCATCTTGTGTAATTAGGTAAGAGGACATCTAAGTGAGTTGCTTGGCAAAGGTGCAAAACTGGGCTCAGAAAACTGGATTCTTCACTTCTAATTTCAGGGCATTTCACTATACCAAACATATCATGATGTTTCCTCCTTATGGTATCAGTCATACTTTCCTCATGGTACCTCAAAAAATATCTCTGATATCCTGGATACTGATAGTTGCCGAGGTAGGCTGCTAATTTTTTACAGGTCGACAGTATTCAAATAATTTAGTATCAAAAATCCTATCTTCCTCCATCCCAAACAGATGCTAGGTATACACGGTTCTACTAAAATAATTTGATAGCCTTTAAAATAAAGGAAGAATTAGCAAAATCAGGGTTTAGGAATTATCATGTAGGGCCTTTACATAAAGATGAAGATTTGGCTGAAATATGAAGGAATTAACAATGCCAGTACTTTAGACATGTTAGCCTCATTTATACGCTTAAATGTGAAAGGAAAAACTTTTTTTGCCTTATTCATTAGGAAGTATATATACAAATTACCTATCATTGTTTAAGAATTACTGAAAGAAATAAACAAAAACATAATGGAAACTGCATTGATTATATACAATTGTCAGAATCTATAGGTAATAATTAAAAAATATGTTTACTGGTAAACATGTCCTTTTGCATTTAGAAAAGATGAGTACATAAACCATACTTTATTAGACATACATAAATTCAAACCAAATTAATGATACATTTGGAAACATAAAAAAAGTGGAACTTGAAGGACAGAGCCATGGTAACAGAGACATTTCTAACACTCTCAAATCATCCAAATGTTAGGAAGAAACAGAATCCCTTAACAAAATACTTCTGAGAAATGCAAAATATGAAAAGATTAAAAATAGGAATAAATCACTAAAACAAAAGGCCTTAAGTC